CGCGTGCGATAGGATATGGATGGCAGACCAGGAGCTGGAACTTGATTTGGCAGGAAAAGGGGTGGTTGCAGGCTTCTGAGTGGAGCCGTGTGGGACAGAGCTGCCAGTGTGTGGGCAGACTGAGAGGGCAGCCTTGCTGGGCAGAGGGCTGAGGGGGCTGCTCCAGCTGTGCCCGGAGAGGGAAGCCCGAGCCAAGGAATTGGGTGCAACCAGGTTTTAAACAAGACAGGAACGGGGGGGTGGGGGTGGGGGGCAAAGAAATGTGGGAGGGAGCCCGGCCAGAGTGGCTCAGTGGTTGAGCATTGACCTAGGAGGTCATAGTTCGATTCCCGGTCAGGGCACTTGCCCTGGTTTCGGGCTCGATCCCCAGTAGGGGGCATGCAGGAGACAGCCGATCGATAATTCTCTCTCATCATTGATGTTTCTATCTCTCCCTCTCTGAAATCAATAAAAAAATATTTTTTAAAAAAGAGAGAGGTTAGCCAGGGGTGGGCAAACTTTTTGACTCGAGGGCCACAATGGGTTCTTAAACTGGACCGGAGGGCCGGAACAAAAGCATGGATGGAGTGTTTGTGTGAACTAATATAAAATTAAAGTAAACATCATTACATAAAAGGGTACGGTCTTTTTTTTTTTAGTTTTATTCATTTCAAACAGGCCGGACCCGGCCCGCGGGCCGTAGTTTGCCCATGGCTGCGTTAGACCCTAACTGGTTTGGCTCAGTGGAGAGAGTGTCAGCCTACAGACTGAAGGGTCCCAGGTTCAATTCCGGTCAAGGGCATATGCCCATGTTCTGAGCTCAATCCACAGTAGGGGTGTGCATGAGGCAGCCTATCAGTGATTCTCTCTCATCATTGATGTTTCTATCTCTCCCTCTCCCTTCCTCTCTGAAATCAATAAAAATATATTTTTTAAAGAGAGAGAGAGAGAGAGAGATAGGTAGGTAGAAGGGCGGGTTCTGGGTAGAAGGAGGGCAATGGTGCCTCAGAGCAGTACACTTGGGTCCCGTGGGGGCTCTGAAGAACTCACAGACTCAGAGCTCGGTTTAAACATCTGGTTGACCCCCAATACGAAAGCCACCTGGGATGGAGCTGTTCAGATCAGCACTTTCCAGCCCCCCTTCCCACCCTGAGCCACGGAGGGCCAGATGCACCTGCCAGATGGGTGCAAGGAGGAGGTTTAACTCATCGAGTTAGAAGTGTCCACGTTCACTGGGACTGTGCACTTTTAGTTCCCTTCGTCTCATGGCCGGGAAAGCCCTGGACCCGAGTTCATGCAGGGGCAGGGGCAGGGGCAGGTCTGAAAGGGAGATGGAGAAAGTTGTGTTTCAGATTCATGTGTTGCTCCCACTGCAGCCCCACGTTGGAGTTCGAGTTCGGTGCAGTATATATGTGATTTTTATTGTCAGTTTATTTTGAGTCTCTAAAGGGAAGACGGTCATTTTCTGACCAGACTTTTATTCTCCACGTGTCTCAAGTTGAAATGCCAGCTCTGCACGAGCCCACGTGAGAGGAGGTGCCATCCTTTACAATCTTCTTTCTCGTTGTCAGGACTCCTAGGTGCAGGAAAATATTCCCGTTACAAATCCAGGAGTATACACTGGGTGCTATTTGCCACTTGCTTAAATCCTTAAAACTTGAAGCTTTTCCGTTTTTACTAATTTTAGAGGGAGAGAGAGATGGAGAGAAACATTGATGTGAGAGAGAAACATGGATTGGTTGCCTCTTGTACATGCCCTGACCGGGGATTGAACCCAAGACCTTTTCGTGTATGGGACATTTCAACCAACTGAGCCACCCAGCCAGGGCAGCAATGACCATTTTTATGCAGAGCAGACTTAGTTGGATTTATAAAGTCCTTTTCATAATTTAAGTGATGACTTTCCGAAAGGGGATTTTTTTTAGGTAGGCTTTCTCACATATATTTTCCCACAGCAAGTTCTTTATATCTTTTTTTTAATATATTTTTATTGATTTCAGAGAGGAAGGGAGAGGGGAGAGAGAGAGAGAGAAACATCAGTGATGAGAGAGAATCATTGATCTGCTGCCTCCGGCACGCTCCGCTACTGGGGATCGAGCCCGCAACCCAGGCGTGTGCCCTTGACTGGAATCAAACCTGGGACCCTTCAGTCTGCAGGCCGATGCTCTAAAACCAGCTAGGGCAAGTTTTTTATATCTTCTTGCTCTCTTTGCTAAATTTGCTTTCCTATGAGAATCCCTGAGGATGTTAAAAATGCTCCAAGTATCTGGGAGTTTGGGCGGGCCGCATTGGAGCAGGAATGACAGTGGTTTGTTATGGTTTCCCATGAATCCTGTGAAGAGAAGTCACAACCGGCAGTCCGGATGAGGTGACATGACGTTGTTTGTTTGTTTTGCTCAGTTTCTGCAGGTGGTCGGTGTGGGAGAGAGGAAGAGATGTTAGAAATGTCATATATTTTTGTCTCTGAATCACATGGCTGTTTTGGAGGCCACCTGCCTGGCAGGAAGTCCCGCCTGGTCGTGTTTGGGGTCCCCGTCCACCTTCTTAGAGTAGTTGGGACGCCTCTGGGTTTCTTCAGAGCAGCGGATTCAGGCGAGGCCTTGGGCCTGCAGTGCACAGTGACCACCCTTATGTCCACGTCACCATCCTCCTGAAGGCCCGACCTCTAACTCGCCAGTGTCTGGCCCTGGCAGACGGGGTCATGGCCTGTGGTCCTTGAGGCCTGGACATCGCCTTGCCAACCCATCACCTTACCCACCGCCCCCCTGTAAGCACTTCACGGGAGTGGGGTGCTGGTCCCCAACACCCCCACGACTGAGCCCAGTCACCTCCTCATCCTTCGCCAGCCCCCATTTTGCCTTCAGTACCTGGAAGAGAGTCACGGATGAGGTGGAGCCTCTGGGAGGCGCTTTTCACTCTGGCTGCTACAACTCTGTGATTGCGTGCTGTGCTCCTCGGCGCCCGTGACGGCACTGAGCGTGGCGACAATAGATGACCACGACCCCGCAGACCCCGTCCTTCACTCAGCTTCAGGCACTGAGCTAGTTCTCACTCGGCCTCTCTCGCCCTCTGTGGCGTCAGGGGGCAGCGACCGTGGGCCAGGGCTTGGTGCGCACAGCTGCCCTGGCTCCTGGCCCCCAGAGCCCTGCTGGCCTGGACTTGAGTCTGTCCAAGGACCCTTTCCCTGGCCACCACCGCCTGTCTGCATGTCAGCTCCTGGGCTGGAGGACAGTGAAGGGCTTCCCAGAATGCGTTGGCCGTGCTCAGCAATGGTAGCTCCAATCCTTCCTGAAGAGCAGGCGGTTATAATATCCCAGCCACCGAACCCCCTTTCATTCTTTCTGGAGACTGGTGGCAAGTTCATTTCCATAGCTCATTAACCTCTTTTAATAGATAAACTCCAAAAATATTGATTAAAAAATCTTTTTTTGCCTTTTGAGGGTGAATCTGCATTTCTCAGCATCTTGAGCCCCAGGTTGTGTGACCCAGTGAGGAAAGGCCAGCTCATTCTGTTGTCTCCAGGGATGGGAGGAAGGTCACAGACCCATGGGCTGTGTCTGTACGTCCGGTGTTGATCCGACAGCAGGGCTGTTCCCATTCTCCCGCCAGCGTCTGTGCTGGAGGCGCTGTGGGAGCCGAGGGCCTGGCTGGTTGTGGCTGGGGAGGGAGGGTTACACCGTCTGCGGGAGAGAATGGTAGGCCTCCCCAAATGTAAATGCTGAGCATAGATGAATTTTTAATGGAAATCAATTTCGCTTCTCCAAAGAAGCCTTTAGCTTCTTGGAAAATCTAGACTGCGTACTGCTGATTACTGACCTTATCTTCCTTTCTCTCCCCCCCACCCCCTGCCTTCCCACCTGCTGGCAGCTGCCCATACCTCGCAGTGAAAATCACGCCTGCCATTCCCGTGGTTGGTGGCATCCTGTTCTTCTTCGTGATGGGGACCCTGCTTCGCACCAGCTTCAGTGACCCCGGCGTCCTCCCGCGAGCCACGCCTGATGAAGCCGCCGACCTGGAAAGGCAAATAGGTAACCCTGAAGATCTGCCCTTAGCCTCGGTCCCCTCCCACCCGTGCCCAGCCACAGGCGCCCCTGCGAGAGGGCCAGGGCGCTGACGGGGACGAGGAGCTGCGGCGGAGTCCCCGAAGTCTTCACGCACTCTGTCCGCAGGATGACCTGAGTAGAAGGTGGGATGGAAGGTGGTCAGAGGTAAGACAGGGCGGGTGCCCCTGCGGCGGCTGGTGGTGCCCCTCACCGAGCATCGCCACTGAGCTCCGTTTCCATGAAACCCAGGTGTCCACGTCAGTCCTGCAGGTCTGCGGTCGGTGCCTGTGCTCTGTGCTCTTTTGTAATCGTTGTAGCCTAACTCTGGCCCCATCGTATAAACCTGGAAACTGAGACTAAACTGTAAACTAAATCTGAAACTACTGGCTCATTTCTCTGGCCGAGGACCAGAAAGAATCTCTTTATTACAGCATAACAAAGCCATGTATTTGTGATCTAAGTATTGAGATGAATAGCTTCAGTTTCCTTAGATAATGAGATCCTCTGATGAAAAGTTTACCGAAATCCACTTGAAAGCTATTAAAACAAATCCTAATCCCTCACACAACAAACTTTTAAAGTCCTTTTTTCTATTAGATGAGAGCTTTTTCTGGGAAGTGTGCATTTGTGAACTTGTAGCTTTGGGGGCGCGGTGATAATTGGACAGGAGTGGCGGAGGGCAGTGAGGGCTCCGTGAATGTCAGGTGACGCATGAGAAACTGTGGGCAGACGTCCTCTCCCTGCTCCCCCGACGCCTGGGCGCCGCGCCCAGCCTCACTCGGCTGAAAGATCCCCTTGCCACAGAGCAATGGGTGCAGGTCTGGGCCTCAGTAGAGAGCGTCTGCTCTGGTCCACCATCCCCAGGCCCCGAGGCACAGCTGTGTCCTTCTCTGAGCTTCTGCCTCCATCCTTCATCTCTGTCTCCTGGGAGGAGAGCGGTAAAGGAGTTGCTGGTGGGAGGGCATGGCGAGTAGTCAGGTGGGAAGCAGCCTTCTGGTGTCCTGAGGCAGGGAAGAAGGGGGAGGAAAATCCCTTTCTTCCCCTGGGGATAAATACAGCTCCTTCTTAGTCATTGCATCTTGGGATTTCAAATAATTCATGCTTTCAGGCTTTGCATTTATAGCACATTAATAATTTATAAAGGCTATCATTGAACTTGATCACTTCCAAGCTCGTTTGTGGGGAAGAAGTTAAATGGGAGAAAGTGGCCGAGCCAGAGCCTCGAACCCAGGTTTCCTAGTCTCAGCCCTCGTACTCTCCAGGTTGACATGGCAGAGAGGAGAGAGGGGGCTCAGGCCCATGTCCTCCAGGGAACAGGACTCGCCTATAGAAACCACGTCGTCTGTGCCACATCACATGAGCACGTAGCTACAACATGGGTGAACCTTAAAACGTTATGCGAAGTGAAAGAGGCCAGATCGGAAGACTATGTTTTGTGCTTATATGATTCTGTTTACATGAAATGTCCAGAAAGGGCAGATCTTTAGAGAGAGAAAGCAGGTTGGTGACGGCCTGGGCTGGGGGCTGGGGGGATGAGGGTTGATGCACACAGACATGCCAGGACTGTTTGGAGTAATGAAAATGATCTAAAATTAGGTTGCAGTGATAATAAATTTGCTAAAACCATTCTACTACACATTTGTAGTGGATACTACACTCACAACTACACTATTACGGTGTGTAAGTTATAACACAGTACATCCGCCAAAGCTATAAAGGAGGGAGAGGGGAAGGAGAGAGGAGGAAGATGGGCGCCCCACTCTGAGCTGTGTGACCCTAGGCTGGTCTGCACCTTCTGAATGTCATACCTCCTGTTCTCATCCGTAAATGGGGACCATGACACACATCCTATAGCGTTCTTGTCAGGTTAGCTCAGAGAATGGTAGTACTTTTCTAAGAGAAATTATCCTCTTTCCCCACCCAGTTCTCTCTTCACCTTCCGCAAACATAGATTCTCATAAAAACCGCCCCGCAGTGTGGTAGGAATGGACGGCAGCGCTGGTAGTGGGGGTCTAATACTTCATATCGAGCCCTCCATGTGTTTCTGTGGAAAATAACATTATGTTTCAATGGAATCTTAGCACATTTATTTTGTGCTACCTAACTAAAAACATGAAAAATGAGACTTAGAAACTTTTTATTATTAGGGTTATTAATTCTAATTATTTGTAGTATACCTCTACTTCTAGAAGCCCATAACACCCGCCCGAAGTCAGCCCTCTGGGTAACTTGTTAAAGGTTTGCCGAGGATCTGAACACTCCGTCTTCAGCCTCCTGGTGAGGAGGAGGCTGTGTGTCTCAGTCTTGACAAGTCTCCTGAAACGCCTTACACAGTTTTTTTCTGAAAGAACTTTCCCGGTAACTTATATTGTCACCAAATAGACAGCAAAGAAGGGCAGCAGGGGCCCAAGGAGGCCTCGATGGGTCCCTGGAGTCCTGCTTGGAAACGAGTCTCGGAAACTCCATTTCTTTAGTTCACTCAGACAGCCAGGCACTCAGCGACTGGTTTGGGATCAGAGCGTTTTGTTTCGATTAGAGATAGACCTCTTGAGGCAGCAATGCAGCGGGCCTCGCTCTGCTCACACCCGCGTGCACCGTGCACCATCTTTCCCGGCCCCCCGACCCTCCTAAGGAAGCGAAAGCCAGGAAGTCAGCCACGGGCTGAAATGGGACCTCGTCTGGCTGTGGGGCTCCCAAAACAAGGCGAGTTACCTAGGAAACTCTCCTGTGACAAGGTAACCCCGACACCAAGAAGTGATCCTGCTCGGTGAGGTGGAATCGGATCCAAGGAAGCTGGGTGGACTTTAAAAAGTCACCTGCGCTGTGGCAGAGTCTGAACTGGGCACTTGTGTTCCCGGGCTGGAACACCACTCGGCCAGACAGTGCGGGGTGTGTGTGTGTGTGTGTGTGTGTCCCTCCTCTCTGTCTCTGTCTTCCTCCCTCTCTCTTTGTCCCTCTCTTCCTCCAGCCCTCCCTCTTACTTCTCCCCTCCCCCCTCCTCCTCCATCTTCACCTCTCCTCCCGCTCCTCTCCTTTTCCCCTCCTCCTTCTCTTTTCCTCCTCTTCCTCCTTCCTCTCTTGTGTGTGTGTGTGTGTGTGTGTGTGTGTGTGTGTGTGTGTGCCCCTCCTCTCTGTCTCTGTCTTCCTCCCTCTCTCTTTGTCCCTCTCTTCCTCCAGCCCTCCCTCTTACTTCTCCCCTCCCCCCTCCTCCTCCATCTTCACCTCTCCTCCCGCTCCTCTCCTTTTCCCCTCCTCCTTCTCTTTTCCTCCTCTTCCTCCTTCCTCTCTCATCTTCCCACCCCTACTCTTTTGGTCAAATTCTCATACAAAACGCGTTCTTGTAGTACACAGAGCTAATCACTATTTCTAAGACTAAAGTTTATCTCGAACTGACTCCTAAATTAGCCCTCAGAGTGGACCTCCCCGGAGGAGAGGGTTAGGAAGGCGGCTCGGTGGCTCTGGGTGCTGGGGAAGCACAGGCCCTGCTGGCAGCCCCGTCTGCACCGGCCAGAGAGCCCAGGGCCCGGGAGGAGTTCCGTGGGGACAGGATGGTGCCAGCACCTATTCCACTTGCCAGACTTTGCCCCCCAAAGACTCTTCATTCTGTGTTTCACAGTAGAAATATTATAATTGCAGTTTTAACAGCACCAATGGATTTCTGTTGAAGAAAATACTTTCCGAGAACACTATTACACCGATTTAAGACCATAGTCAATTTTCTCTATTGCAAAGCTAAACCATTTCCAATTTTTCCCACTTACATTTTTATTTTACTAAAATTATTTTTATCGGAGTAATTGCTTTCTCTACATAAAATTTATAACTGGTTTTTTTATATCACGAGCATTGCAATATGAATTTTCTTACAGAACTGTTATATCCACTAAGTCAAATTTTCCTGGTGATTTAATTTTTTACCATGTACATTTTTTAAGCCATTATTGATTTCTTTTTTTGTTAGTTATTTCTACTGGTAGTATTCACCATAAAGTTGCTTTAAATTTTTATGGTTTCTTATTTTTTGCCTTGTGATGATTCTGCTGTTTGTGGTTGATCTGTGATTAAATCTCCCACACGTTTTGCGAGCACTGTGTGCATTGCACACTAGATGTTCACACTTCTGAATATGCTAAAAAAAAAAAAAAAAGGTGAAAAAAGCCAGCAGGCAGCATGGGTGGTTAATTTGACTTTTACCCGTTTTCTTTTCGGAAGGTGACATTTTCTCATCATTTTCCCCAATTCTTATTTGCATCCCTGACTCACCTCCAGAGTGCCTGCAGCTTATCCTCTGTGGAATTCTCGTTGCAGTGGTCGCTTCGGCGTCTCGTGACCATTCTGTGAGGCTCAGCGCACTGTTCAGGGTCCCCTGCCTCCCCCACCCCCGCCCCCCTGCTGCTCTGCGCCCTGTTCTTCCCAGACGGACTGTGACGCCGTTTCATTAGCTTTGGGACAGTCCCTTGCAGGCACCCGCTTAAGCGTTTAGCTGCGCCCCTTAAAATGAAACATTCCCGTGCTTGTCCTGTAAAGCAGTGGCTTATTGGTCCACGATGAGCAGGTAGAATAATAGTAGCTAGTTCTCATCTAGGGCTTCTCCCGTGCCGGGCAGCCGGGCATCATGTAAGCTCTTCCCATGACGACCTCATCCAATACTCACGACCACCACTCGCCGGCGCTGAGTCACTGTAAACACTCCGACTGCATTGATGAGAAAGCCGGTGCTCAGGCGGAAACGTGATTTCCCACAGGTCACTGGGCCAGGGCTGGGGTTCGTGCAGGTCCGTGCCCTGAACCACAGCACGGCACTGCCCACCATCTAGTTGCCTTGGGGAGCCAGGCCCTGAGGGGCAGGTGGCACTTCCCGATGCCCATAAGTTATAGTCTGTCTCCATCGTCCAGCCCTCAACTCTCCGGTCCCATTCGCTGCCTCTCCCATCACATCACGGTGGTGGCTGGAGGGCCTGGTTCTCAAATCCTGGCCCCCGTGG